TTTGTTGGCGCCCACCAGCTGCACACTGGCCATGGACATGACATTTCCAAAGAGAGTAAAGCATGCTACCTGCTCCAGCTTCTCTTTACGAGATTTTGAATCTGAGGAAGAATAAGTGAATGAGTTTGAGAACATTAAACCAAAGTATAATTACATAAGTATCTGATTCTATCGGCTCTTCATTTGGTTACTGAACTGACCTGCAGCCTTCTCGGTCTTTGACGTACTCTGAAATAAGGAACATTTTTTACACAACAGAAAAAAAAGAGTTATATTTCAAATTTTGATAGGATGAAACAAGAGCAACCATTTTTCTTTTCTTTTTTCGTTACCTCCACATCATGGATGATCCTGTAGACAAACAGCTGATTTGTTCCCGCTACCACCAAGTTCTTCTCTTTACCGGAAATGAAATTGCAGTAGACAGAAAACTCCACTGCAGTGGGAGCGTGGGCTTGTCTGTACACAGCATACATTCTGTATCCTCAAAGCACCTGAAAGCCAAGAACACTGGTGTCAATAACGTTTTACACAGGTGTTATTACTAAGATGTTTATCCATGTTAGTAGTAAAATTACATGACAAGAAATTCAGCAAATATGGTTCTGTTATTCTTCTTAGGACACACCTCTTTTTTCCCAAACTGTTCAACCCTAGCTTTTTCATGATCTGCTGCTCCTTATCCTATCCACTCTATATTGAAAGTACATTTTTATACTTTTAAAACAATCATTTATATTTATCTTTGTCTTCTTTATGTAATGTAGTATGCAATTCAAAAAAAGTATATCAAAGTTGTTTGCTAAACAATATGTGATCTTTGGAGCAAGCAATTAATCGAGTCACAAATTCAAAATTAAGGTGACATTAAGGTGCATATTTTCAAGATGCGGAGATGCTATTCCGTACTCTGCTGTTTTGAGAGTAATTTTTGAAAGATGAAGCACTGACTGTTAAATGCTAGCTAGCATTTGAGGTAAACAAAGAGCGTTGTTTAAAAGTTAACCAAAATGAATAAATGAAATAATACATTTGAGCTACGTGATCAGCGAAACTAATAATCATTGGCCACTGGCTAGCGAAGCTAACGATGCAGCATCAGACCTTTCAATTTATTTCCATATAATGAATTAATCTTATAAACGTACCTACGTCAAACAAGCCTCGGGTGTTGAATGTTTATTTGCTCTCGAAATCGGATTTACCATATCATATTTTTGCTTTACCAACTCAAATTACCCATTCAATAGCAGGGCAGTGGTAGTTAGCTAGCTGTTGTTTTGTGGCTGCGACAGTCACATGGCCACTCCCATTCTTCTTCGGCGGTTTTTTTCCTGGCGAGTCAACCACTCCTCGGCATGTTGCTGCCACTACGGGAACTACATGTACTACCAGTTTAAAACAAGATGTACACTAAAATCCACTGTGTGCGATTTATATGTTTTTTGTAAACTTGTTTTTTATTCCATTTTCATTCCATTCCACGGTTTTATTAGACACACTGTTGTACAACTTCATTGTAGTGGTGGCATCCACTCTGGAGTCCAGAATAAGCTCATTATTGTATTATGTAGGGACAAGAAACCACTGACAATGACATTAAAACATCTGATCAATTTGAATCCTGATCTTTATTACATTTTTGAGAGTATTCAAATCCCAGGAACACAGTCGGAACATGCATACTAAACACGCAGACACCATCATCCAAACCAGAGCAGAACAGCTGTTTAACTCAACTATTTGAATTTGACCAAGTGAACAGGTCAGAGCAGATGATCACAGAACATAAAATCCTTTGTTTTATCCATTATGTAATGTAAAACAATCGACTAAAAAATGTTAAGGCAATAGAATAAAATAAACAATAATCTATCTTCACATTAGAACATGAATGAATTCCTCATTTGAAGATTTGCTGACATGTGATAAGGTATTCTGGAAAAGCCTGGGTGTCGTTGAAGATGACAAACAGTGTTGGGTTTGTAAGGTTGTCTGTCACGCTATCATACCGAAGGGGCACTTCATCGGCGGAGTCTTGCATCAGTGGTGCCGTTTTCATCGTATGGCAGCCTATGGTGAAGTCTCCAGTCAAAACCCTCGAAACAAAAATAAACTTGTATCCGTCTGAGTTGGGGGGTGAATACTGATCCTGAACAGACAGTGCAGAGTTGATGGCAAAATACACTCCCTGACCATAGACGGTGGCTGTGCAAAGTAAAGGATGTTAGAAAATGGATCATAAAAAACGAAAATGAAGAGCAAACCATTTATTCAGAAACATACCGTTTTTTCCACAGAAGCTTCTGTTGAATCCGTGGACACATATCTCTTTCACACTCGCCTCACTCGTTCCGTGGTAAAGCTTTCGTTCCACCTCCGGGTACGTGGCACGCTTCAACACGCTCGCCTTCTTTAGCTTGTACTGATTGTAGAGCAGCCGATTCATTAGCTTTTCCACCTGGAGATAAAAAAAAATATATCAAAGCATAATGCTATTACAGATGTGTTATATTTTTGGTGTTTACACATGGTGTTTTTTTTTTACATGTATGATTTTGATCTTGCTGTGATATCCCTTCAGGGTTGCATAGAAGTTCTGCATCACAAGTTGAAATTCATCCGACTCCTTGGGGAGTTTGGTGGCTTCAGGCAGGTTTGACAGCAAAGAGTATTCTTCATCTGTGAACAAGTGATTTAATTTGAATTATACTGAACACATGCAGCAATTGTTTTTGTCATATGGTATGGTATGAGATCATAGTAGGGATGCACCGATTGTGAAATTCTGGGTTGATTGACATTGACCAAACTGATCTCTTCTGTACCTGGCAAGTTTTCCAGATCTCCTTCCTCCAGAAGCTTCCTGTAGACTTTAACGAATTTCATAGACTCTTTGTTGAGCTCTTGCATCTTTTCAAACTCAACAGTGTAGAGCTCGTTGTCCAACGTGACGTCCACCTGTTCCCGTCTTAATTTCCAAGCCTGCTCGATTAACACTGTCACATCAGGCGGGTACGGGGTCAGTTCTGAGGATGCTGGATCCTGCGTCACCCACTGTACTGTCTTGAGGATTTCCTGGCTAGAATCAGACTTTTCCATCGCCTCAAGCAGCAGTTTGACATCGCACACTCCTCCGTACACGTAATGATTGAATCCAGAAACGGTTATGAGAGTGCCCTGAATCTGAATGTCAACACCGTGCTTCCTCTTGATTGCCTCGATACACATTTTGTGGTAGTCAGAGATATTCTTCAGGCACCTGTTCTGGAGCTTCTCCTCTGACTGCCGCTGTTGAATTTTCTTCCCAAAGGCGATGCTAACTCGGGTCAAATCACAGCTGTAAACTGCAAACACAACCAGCTGGGCAGTGCTGGCCGCCCTAATGTCTTCCTGATAAGAATCAAAAATTATTTTTTTAGGGCGTTTATTTTCGGGGATACTGTCTCTGTTGGCCGAACAGTGATTGTGAGAGGTCATTTGTTTTGACAGCTCCAAGGCTTTTTTCAGTTGCTCCTCCTCCTCCGCTCGTGACTGTTGACTCAGCTCCATTGAGTACTGAATTGCCAGGGAGAGCTGAGCTTCTTCCTCTTCCAGACCTCTGGGATCGTCAAAGTTCAAATCACCTGCGGCGCTGCCTTCTGCTGGGAA